TGTAAGAGTTGTGTGCCCCTTCTTTATGTACCTTTAATGTAAGAGTTGTGTGCCCCTTCTTTATGTACCTTTAATGTAAGAGTTGTGTGCTCCTTCTTTACATGCCTTTAATGTAGGAGTTGTGTGCCCCTTCTTTACATGCCTTTAATGTAAGAGTTGTGTGCCCCTTCTTTACATGCCTTTAATGTAAGAATTGTGTGCCCCTTCTTTACATGCCATTAATGTAAGAGTTGTGTGCCCCTTCTTAACATACTATACATGTTAAAGTTGTGTGCCCTTCTTTATGTACCATTTATGTAATAGTTGTGTGCCCTTTCTTTACATACCGTTAATGTAAGAGTTGTGTGCCCCTTCTTTATGTACCATTAATGTAAGAGTTGTGTGCCCTTTCTTAACATACTATACATGTTAAAGTTGTGTGCCCTTCTTTATGTACCATTTATGTAATAGTTGTGTGCCCCTTCTTTATGTACCATTAATGTAAGAGTTGTGTGCCCCTTCTTTACATGCCTTTAATGTAAGAATTGTGTGCCCCTTCTTTACATGCCTTTAATGTAAGAGTTGTGTGTCCCTTCTTTATGTACCATTTATGTAATAGTTGTGTGCCCTTTCTTTACATACCGTTAACGTAAGAGTTGTGTGCCCTTTCTTTATGTACCATTACTGTAAGAGTTGTGTGCCCCTTCTTTATGTACCATTAATGTAAGAGTTTTGTGCCCTTCTTTATGTACCATTAATGTAAGAGTTTTGTGCCCTTTTTTATGTACCATTAATGTAAGAGTTGTGTGCCCTTTATGTACCATTATTGTAAGAGTTGTGTGCCCTTTCTTAACATGCCATTTTTGTAATAGTTGTGTGCCCTTTCTTTACATACCCTTAATGTAAGAGTTATGTGCCCCTTCTTTATGTACCATTAATGTAAGAGTTGTGTGCCCCTTCTTTACATGTCTTTAATGTGAGAGTTGTGTGCCCCTTATTTACATGCCTTTAATGAAAGAGTTGTGTGCCCCTTCTTTATGTACCTTTAATGTAAGAGTTGTTTGCCCCTTCTTTACATGTCTTTAATGTAAGAGTTGTGTGCCCCTTCTTTACATGTCTTTAATGTAAGAGTTGTGTGCCCCTTTTTTACATTATGAATGAGGTACATGTCGTTGTTACAGACACAGCCTATGGGAAAAGTGTAGATGATAATGAGTGGCACTATTTTGACGATTCCAGTGTGTCGTCCGCCTCGGAGGAGGATGTTACGGTAAGATAAGCTTCACCTATGTACACACATCTAAAAAATACTTGACTTTTGTCTTATCTTTTTGCATTGACAATGAAACTGATTGATTCTCACTTTGGTTAATACATTTCATTCTTAAATCTGATCAACATTATAACATCATTATTCTGTATTCTGTTAATTTAGGACTATTAAGAAAGAAGTGAAGTGATGAAATAAAGATTGTTATATTATGAAATGTATAACAATATCATATGAAATTCTATATATTCAATCTAGGTGTAACTTTACATTTAATGCAGAGGTTTGTGTTCTTCATTACTTTGACATAATGTAAATATTCCTATTGTTTGTTTGCAGTCTAAGGCTGCCTACGTCCTTGTGTATCAGAAGCAAGGGACAAACCCCAAACCAGCCAAGTGTAATAGGACTTCTCACGCTGCTGGAGGGGCCATGGAAAACAGCATCAACAGTCTCAGTGATGAGGAGATGGAAACCACATAGAACATTGCTTTACCTTGAAGGTGTTGACCTTGGGATTTGACCTTAAAAGGTGACCTTGACATTTGATCTAGGGATGCAAATGATAGGGTTGACCTTGGATGTGATAGGATACTAGTGTCCACAGTTGTACAAAAAGGAACTGAGAAACCAACATGGACAAAAAAGGGAGTACACAACATTGACAGGCAGCACAGACAATATCCCTGTGAGTGGAAGTCGTACAGCGGGTTGGTTGTTCTTACATAGACTTTATAAAGACAATAAGTGAGGAAACATAGTGTTCCACCCTAGCCTGATTAATGGAGCTGATGTGTGTTACAGGTGTGTGATCAGAATAAAGAGTGGTGTTTACTTCTATTGAACTATAGAATGTTGTATTTCATAGATTCTGTGCCCATACAGATGGGACTAACAACAGGTTCCCACTGTGTGATTAGGATGATTGAAATACCTTGTAATAGAGAGTTCCACATGCAAGCAGGTCATGTATATCCTCAATAAATATTTGATCCACTTTAAAAATGTTCACCTGTTCAGTTTTTATGAGGACAGTCCATGTGTGTCTTGGTGAATATAACATGTATCTGTCCTATTAAGTGCAGCCATTGTCTTTTCTGGCAAGACTGTGTCTGTCCTATTGAGGACAACCCTAGTTTGTCCTACTTTGTTTCCTTCTGAAGACAACCCTTACATGTCCTGCTGTGGCAAGTCTGGCCTAGTAAGGACAACCTTAAATGTCCTACTGTGGCAAGTCTGGCCTAGTAAAGACATCCTTAAATGTCCTACTGTGGCAAGTCTGGCCTAGTAAGGACAACCTTAAATGTCCTACTGTGGCAAGTCTGGCCTAGTAAGGACAACCCTTACGTGTCCCACTGTGTCTAGCCTGTATCTGCCCTTTTGAAAACCAGTGTTGCCCTTTGTTATGTACCGAGTGGGGTAAACAGATATATGCTAAAAGAGTGTTGATATGTTGACTGATGTACTAGAAATTATATAGTTATTCCATGTTTTACTTGTGGATAGAACACCTTCATGTACTCTGTATTATATACAATAAGTTTATGTATTGTGTAAATATGTTGGATCCTATGTACATATTTGAATAAACACTTGATTGTATCATATTGGTACATGTATGGGGTGGTAACCAATAAAATTGAAGTTACTTATCATTTTCTTATGACAATTCCTTATAATAATTGAGCATTTCAGAATTAACCATATTGGAGGGCTTGGAGGCACTTTTTAGAGGCCCCGCATGCCATTGAATATCAGAACTGATTTATATTAAGAATGGTGGGCAGATTTTGAACTAACCCCATTGTTATTTAGTGATACAAGTGATGCTGACCTCCCTGCTATTGTTATTTAGTGATACAGGTGATACTGACCTCCCTACTATTGTTATTTAGTGATACAGGTGATGCTGACCTCCCTGCTATTGTTATTTAGTGATACAGGTGATACTGACCTCCCTGCTATTGTTATTTAGTGATACAGGTGATGCTGACCTCCCTGCTATTGTTATTTAGTGATACAGGTGATGCTGACCTCCCTGCTATTGTTATTTAGTGATACAGGTGATGCTGACCTCCCTGCTATTGTTATTTAGTGATACAGGTGATGCTGACCTCCCTGCTATTGTTATTTAGTGATACAGGTGATGCTGACCTCCCTGCTATTGTTATTTAGTGATACAGGTGATGCTGACCTCCCTGCTATTGTTATTTAGTGATACAGGTGATGCTGACCTCCCTGCTATTGTTATTTAGTGATACAGGTGATGCTGACCTCCCTGCTATTGTTATTTAGTGATACAGGTGATGCTGACCTCCCTGCTATTGTTATTTAGTGATACAGGTGATGCTGACCTCCCTGCTATTGTTATTTAGTGATACAGGTGATGCTGACCTCCCTGCTATTGTTATTTAGTGATACAGGTGATGCTGACCTCCCTGCTATTGTTATTTAGTGATACAGGTGATGCTGACCTCCCTGCTATTGTTATTTAGTGATACAGGTGATGCTGACCTCCCTGCTATTGTTATTTAGTGATACAGGTGATGCTGACCTCCCTGCTATTGTTATTTAGTGATACAGGTGATGCTGACCTCCCTGCTATTGTTATTTAGTGATACAGGTGATGCTGACCTCCCTGCTATTGTTATTTAGTGATACAGGTGATGCTGACCTCCCTGCTATTGTTATTTAGTGATACAGGTGATGCTGACCTCCCTGCTATTGTTATTTAGTGATACAGGTGATGCTGACCTCCCTGCTATTGTTATTTAGTGATACAGGTGATGCTGACCTCCCTGCTATTGTTATTTAGTGATACAGGTGATGCTGACCTCCCTGCTATTGTTATTTAGTGATACAGGTGATGCTGACCTCCCTGCTATTGTTATTTAGTGATACAGGTGATGCTGACCTCCCTGCTATTGTTATTTAGTGATACAGGTGATGCTGACCTCCCTGCTATTGTTATTTAGTGATACAGGTGATGCTGACCTCCCTGCTATTGTTATTTAGTGATACAGGTGATGCTGACCTCCCTGCTATTGTTATTTAGTGATACAGGTGATGCTGACCTCCCTGCTATTGTTATTTAGTGATACAGGTGATACTGACCTCCCTACTATTGTTATTTAGTGATACAGGTGATGCTGACCTCCCTGCTATTGCTTATACTTAAATATCCCTTACTGTCATACTCTTGTTTTTCAAAATGATGTCCATTTAAAATGTGGAGGTTTTCGTTCAAAGAGGATGAAAACAAGTTTGCCCCAATATTATAACATAATCATCAAACCTAAACAATGCGGTCAGAAACTCTAGGTTAGATGTTAATACCAGGAATTATATAGGGTTAAATCAGTTTGACAGATTTGATCAGTGTATGAATTAAAGTTGTATACAGGGCAAATGTTTACCAGTATAACCTGATAGGTAAGTTATGATAGCTGTCTTGAATAGACATAGAAGTTTGTAAAGATGGTATGTACCCTTTATAATGAGGTCTGTATAGACAGCAATAAGTCAGTTACAGACAAGGTGTGACCTCTACGGAAACAAAACTGTTCCTTACAACACTAGCTGGATAGAGGAACAGCTGAAATAGTGGAGGCTGGATAAATGTGGTTTTGTTGTATGTAGGGTGACGATCCGTGGAGGCTGGATTAACGTGGTTTTGTTGTATGGAGGCTAAAGATTGGTTAATCCTACAAGTTTGTATGTATGTCGGGTCACTCATCTGTTGGGGTTATACTGTGTCTGTGACTGTCTGCTTGTTGGGGTTATACTGTGTCTGTGACTGTCTGCTTGTTGGGGTTATACCGTGTCTGTGACTGTCTGCTTGTTGGGGTTATACTGTGTCAGTGACTGTCTGCTTGTTACATTTAATTTATTAATATTTGTTTTCTGACAGTGGTTTGTATTTTTGTTTTCATCAATAAAAGACAGATCTGCCATTATTTAGACGCCACATGAAATAATAACATGCCAGATAAGAAACAGTTGAATCCGGTTAGTTCAGAGAATATTTTTCAATCAAAGTCCGTTGTAACTGAGTTCAGATTAGTACACTTCCCAGGATTAACAACAGTACTGGATTGCTAATACAGGCTCTGTATCACACAAACTTTAGGTACGTGCTGCAATAGAGACAGCACACCTATATATATTTCATACAAGTTAAATTTCTAAAGTCGTGGTTCAGATAGCTAGTCCTGATTGTGCCGTATTGAAGGTCTTTAGATTGTTAATCCAGGGTGTGTATAGTGTTCTTTGTGTCAATTACCATTCACAGAAAGACAGTAGTTTTCTGCTGAAAATTGAAGTGTTTAAATGTATGTTGGTTAATTGGAATCGGGCGACAACTTAAATGAAATAATCAGACTTTTTTCCTGTTAATTCTCTCTATAGTGAAGTTTTATCGCAATACAAAAGGATTATATGCAAATATGGCTCAACATGTTTTATTTCTTAAATAGTTAATCTCAAGTTCATGACAATAGTCATTTGTAACACAATACACCTTCTGACAACTCAACCAATCAGTAACCCAGTATCCCTTCTGACAACTCACCCAATCAGTAACACAATATCCCTTCTGACTACTCCACCAATCAGTAACACAATATCCCTTCTGACTACTCCACCAATCGGTAACACAATATACCTTCTGACAACTCAACCAATCGAGAAAAAAACAATACACCTTCTGACAACTCAACCAATCAGTAACACAATACACCTTCTGACAACTCAACCAATCAGTAACACAATACACCTTCTGACAACTCAACCAATCAGTAACACAGTATACCTTCTGACAGACAACTCAACCAATCATAGGCAAATTTGTTCATACCTAGCTGGACCAAATACTACATGGACAGTCGTACAGCAATGAGTTATGTATCAATTCTAACCAATATTGTAACTTTATAAACAAGACAATACTGATTAAGTATGCAGTGTTGAGGAATTGTCAGACCTAGAAACGTTAATGATGGCTGTAGAGCCGCTAATCTGTGCACCTGTTGGCCTCAGAATCCGATTTGAGGACCTGTATTGCTAGGTGTTATATAATCTATATCCATTGTATGTACGGTGTAGTTGATGCAGTTAGTCGTAAAATTTTGATATTTTACTTTAACTGCCAATAAATTATTTATAAACATGAAGTTTGTGTTGTTATTAAATAATACAAAGTTAAAGGATCATTGTTCCATACTTTTTGCGTCAAATTTTATTTTTTAACCAATCAGACAGGAAGTGTCAGGCGAGTATCCTTTTGTCAACATTTTCACCAAGTTCAGTGGACCAGTGAGCTTATTCCATGGCGCAGCATTTGTTGTCCATCGTCTGTCAACTTTTTCCTGTAAAACGCTACAAGTCTTTTATGGCAAAGTGGATCCTTTTATAAAACGGAGGATGTGACCCACTATCCTCTCTCTGGGGAAGTGGGGCAGGATCTAATAGGGTATATAGCGGTATATATTTAAAATCCTTCTGTAGTAAAGAGTTTCTTGGGAGGAAAGAGGACCTTAATTTTGTATAAACAAGTCATCACTCCCCCCTTTCATTCTGGGGAAAAAACGTTAAACCAACATTTTTAGCTCACCTGCCCGACTTTAAACAACTTCTGAAGGAGAATCAAAAAGCATAAAATCCTATAATAATATTATTCCTACAATGACTACATCATTGTCGGTGTTGTCCTGTCCGCTTGTGTTTCCATGACTACATCATTGTCCGTGTTGTCCTGTCTGCTTGTGTTTCCATGACTACATCATTGTCCGTGTTTTCCTGTCTGCTTGTGTTTCCATGACAACATCATTGTCCGTGTTGTCCTGTCTGCTTGTGTTTCCATGACTACATCATTGTCCGTGTTGTCCTGTCTGCTTGTGTTTCCATGACTACATCATTTGTCCGTGTTGTCCTGTCTGCTTGTGTTTCCATGACAACATCATCGTCCGTGTTGTCATGTCTGCTTGTGTTTCCATGACTACATCATTGTCCGTGTTGTCATGTCTGCTTGTGTTTCCATGACTACATCATTGTCCGTGTTGTCCTGTCTGCTTGTGTTTCCATGACAACATCATTGTCCGTGTTGTTCTGTCTGCTTGTGTTTCCATGACAACATCATCGTCCGTGTTGTCCTGTCCGCTTGTGTTTTCATGACAACATCATCGCCCGTGTTGTCCTGTCTGCTCGTGTTTCCATGACTTCATCATTACCCGTGTTGTCCTGTCCGCTTGTGTTTACATGACCGTGTTATGTTGTCCTGTTCGTCCTTGGCATTCAGATCGTCTATCAGCACGCCGTTCTTTGTTTCTTCCGCGGTCACATCTTGATGTACCCAATAATACCATTTTGTCATCATCACCTGCCAGTAGTAAGCGCATGGCATTGGCAATGGTAAGCTAAACATACTTGGAGTACATTTTTGTTGTGGTAATATTCTCGTTAACCGGAGTCCATTTATCACATTTTGTCAATGTTTCCCTCTGATTCTTAGAAATGGTAATATATATAAGTAGGATAACTGACTCTCACTGTATTGTATTGCTCTGTAGTCTTGCTACTTCATGCTCACGACTCTGATCTAATCTCAAATGCAACACCGTCTCACCCTTTTGTCAATCCGATCTCATCTGTGCTACACATCTACTTCATTGTTGTTCATCTCATACTATCTGATACTATTAACAGCGTAGATTGTTGTTTTTAGTACAGATAAAGTGACGACAGAATCATTGGTTGTGTCTAGTACAGATAAAGTGACGACAGAATCATTGGTTGTGTCTAGTACAGAT